ATATAAAATGTCATGATTAAAAAATCTCACGATTATATATTGACTTTAAAAATTGTGTGCATTTAACACGCGTACTCTCTCAATCATCAATCATCTATTTTAAAATTTTTTAATTTAACATTTTACTATATACCTGACGTTTATCTCTCTATATTAGAGCCTAAGCAGCGCTAATCCGAACACACACATGGGAGGAGGATCCGCGGCGGATTTATCAGAGATGAGGAGTGCTGGCAACCAAATGAATCTTCAACGTCCCCCAAGCCGTCCATCATTAAATATTCCGCATCGGCCTGTATCGCAAGAGAAGAAAGTGCCATCCGGCAAGCAGCATTATGAATCTCTAATACCTAATATACCAATCTCCGATCATAAGTTGACGGACTTTTTACGTACCAATCTGGATAACTTGGACAATCTCACTTCTCTCGGTTTAGGAAACTTACAAGGATTAGGAAACGCCAACAAGGACTTGTTAGCACTACACAACGGTGCATGGCCTTTAGAAAGTGAAAAGGGATCCCGATCATCATCTTCAAATTCAGAAGGTAATTAAGAACTCGTAATATATACACTGTTTTGAAATAATATATAATACACATTGCAGCACTTGAAAAAAGCTTTACTTTAGCTAGATGTTCTTCATAAAGAATAATAATATATTAGGCAGTTTAATATGATTTAGACGTAATCCCTTCGAATTATGCATGCGGTATATAATACAGTCATATCATAACGCGTTTTGCAATAGAGACAATTGTAATGAAAGGATTACACGTTAAAATCACATTAATGAATTTATTCTACTGTCTCAGGTGGTCAAGAGAAGATTGTGCGCGCTTTCGCCGAAGTGATGAAAAACATGGCAAGAATGAAAGCTTGCGTACGACCGGCAATGTGCAAGCCGTACGGCAAACAATCCGAGGCTCTGCAAAAAAGTAAAGACTTAATTTTATCAACTGTTTTTTTTCCTTTTTTTTTTCTACATAAATTTATTGTGTGTTATCAAATTTTATATTTTTATTCAAAGTTCCTTCTCAAAGTAATTTACAGAGATTTTCACGTTACTTATTTTTAATTGCAGCATTGGTCGATACCATACAGCTTGTACAGTCGTTGAGAAGCTTCTTGCCGCCTCCACATATTCCAGTTTCGAGCTGGAAAAACGAAGATAAACACCGATTAGATCACACCGGTACCCCTTACCTGTCAACGTTGTGAGTAATTTTACTTAACTGCAACTACTATCATTTTAACTCTATTGTTAATATACATATATTTTTACTATTCGGAGGTGCCAAAGAGTTTATCGTCGTGATCTATTGCTAATGCTAACATTTCGTGAATCTTGTTGATTTCATCAAGGCAAGGAGCGTACTGATACTGGTTGACATTAGCAATGGATCACAACACGGCGATAATCCGTAAATCCTTGGGACCTCTGAAGAAAACACCCGTGAAAGCCTCAAAAGTATATTTCTACTGTGTTTTATCTATATATGTATATATATAGATATTCTTTTATATTTTTTTTTAACAGAAAGGCTAGCGGGATGGAAGAATTATGCGAGCAGCGTAAGTTAGACTAACCGTCGTCTTCGCTTTACTCGCGACAGACCAAGTTTCGTCTTTTTGCGCTCTATGATGTTCTAGTCACAAGATGTTTATTAATTAGCTGGGTGTTTCGTATCTAAACAACCCGATGGATTGCTCAAAAAAGTTGTTGGCGTTTAGGACTTCAAATACTAAGAGACAAAATGAGTCATGCGTGGACTGTGATAAAAGTGGGTAGCGAGAAACAAAAAAGATTTATATGTAGGACTAAACTTACACACCGCGTCATTTTAGGGATTTCTTATTAGCTTTATTTTATCACTGTAACCTGATTTCGTATTGTCATTGCTCTCAATCTGCCTATGGAGCTTATTCGACAAATAATCTATCGATTAATCCCTTAATTACTGAATGCCTAGTGACTGAGTTATGATTACGTAAATTACGTAAATAATAGATATTCAATACGGATAGCCTTTATATTTACTGTATCGATTTAATAATTTGCCGTTTGTGTTCCAATAATTACTACCTGATTAATAATATATATAAGGCTTCTTTTATATGTATGAAACTGTTATGTATGCCTACTGTTATGTAGGCATGTGAAACTTATGTCAATATGAGAAGCAAAGACTAAATTGATTTGGTACAAAAGCTTTTGCTACTAATCGATTACTACTTCAACATTCGCGACATAGGCGCATAAAGAAAGAATAAATAAGTTAACAATTTCCTCGATTATTAAACTCGTGTTGCTTTGTTTTACATGTTTTTAACTCGTTTGTTAAATATAGTATATTCTTTAATGTAGAATTTTGAATTAGCATGAAACGAGTTATTCGATTAGCGAAATAATTGTGTTCAATTTATAATATATATGTACACGATTTATATGCATATGTGTATGTATATATATAAATTGTATATGTTATAATATATGTATGCATATCTTCTTTTAAAAAGATTTATATATGAATACGTTATTACTTAATTTTAAGAATAAAATGAACATATATCATTGTTAATTCTAGTACTGTTCGTTGAACAAACATATGTTACAAATGTTGAAAGATTTGTAATAAGCTCCCATAGGCAGTATATGCGGTGTGCACGTGAAAAAGAATCATTGGTCAATTTATATAGGTATTTTTTGAAAAAAAAAAACAAACAAAAAAAACCAAATTATTTCTTAATATATACGTAGAAAAGGAAAAAGAACGAAATTGTTATGTCATTAGAGAACTCTTAAGGGGGTGTGATTCGCACTGACGCTCAAAGACTTCATCGTGCACTAAGTATTATTACGCAGAAACATTTTTGCTCTTGCAAGAGAAAACTGCAAATTAGAGGATCGCGATTGATCTCGATCGAACGCTTCCTCGAGTAAACGGCATATCGAATCAGTTGCAGGAGTAAAATTGTTTCCTACTCGGTTGTTATATGCGCATATAAGCGATATGATAAAATGTTTCCTTCTTTCTCGATAATATAAAGTTACAAAGCGTTCGTCTTTGGATGTAAGCGACAAATGCTGTGTAATACCGCGAATGCGAAATAGTGCGCAGCATTATTGTGTGAGCTCTGTTTTGTGGAATGTGTGTGACATGTATCTGCAAGAATGCAAAGTTTTGGCTATCAAATAGCAAAATTTTATATGGATGCGTGCATGTTGAAGATATCTTTCTATATATGTATCTGTTATTATTTACTACACGTATGCAGCGAATGTGCCGATCGATTACCATTTAGGAGTCGGATCCATGATTTGAAAGACTATGCGAATTATTATTTTCTTTCGTTCTGTTTTTATTCTTTTTTTTTTTTTTTTCATCAATTATTACTCTTTCATATCGTTTCTATATCGTATTATTCTTTTTTCACCTTGCATTCTATTGTGTTCGAAAATAGGAAGCATGTGATGACAATTAACGAGACTGGAGAATAATTCTTGACAGTGATTCTTTATTTGTTTTTCATGGCTATTATAGCTATTTAAACGAATGCAGATCCGGCTTCTATAGACTGCGTTTTTGTTGACATACATATATAATATTATATATAATATTATATATTGACAAGAAGGCTGCTGTAATATGGTTCATAATTCGACGATAACTTGTTGCACATCAAAGTGTATTTCCAATAACTAGGTGGACTTATTTCTTATAAAATATTACGTATTATTAAAAAAATGCAAACGTAACGTCGTTTGTATCGATCGATCCGTGTGATCAACGCAATTTTAAGCATATCCATGACTAAGTCGTTGCAACTTATGCCAAATAGAGAAAAGGGAGCGCGGAAACAGAGTCTGACGAGAAAGGGAGTTGATCGAATATACTGAAATAGAAATTCGAAATATGTAATATGTTAGGAATTGCGTCTGAGATAAATCTTATCTTATTGATGATTTAAACACGATAGCGCAATTGTTTGACGATGTGACGAGGAGAAAGTTTGTGCGTTTATTTATTTATTTTTTTTTAAGCAAAAGTCGCAGCACTGCAGTAAGTTTCTTTATTACATTCGTTGTATTTTATTAATAATGATAATGTTATTATCTATTTTATGTTCTAGATTAATTATCGTTAAAGTTTAAAAATGTTTCGTTTCCCATTATTCGTTTTGCAGTTTTATCATTGCAATGGCTGCAACTGTTGCCGTAATGTGCGTTAGTTTAATATTCTCCTTTGCCGTCCGTTAATTTCTATTAGTTTAAATAATTAGAGCAAGATAAGATTTGATTCTAAGGTACGCGTTCTTTCGAACGAAGTCGAGCACATCAGGAAAAGAGAGAAAAAGGATAAGTACAGATTTCGTTTCCGAATCTCGTTACTCTCGCGCCATATCTATACCATAGAGACCGTGTACATGTTTCCGCACCGAATTCGACAGTAAGATGATAAATGATTGTAAAATGCGCACCGTTGTCGATCCGTCGTTCCCTTTTTAACTCGGATCGCTAATCGATATTCGTACACCAAACGCTAACCGCTGTGTCTGCACATTAAGCTCGTCGTCGCTTGCCAGTATTGCTCTTCTGTATTCTCGCATAATTCTAACTCATGACAGCAATTATTAAAGTTTTTACAAGTGTGAAAGACACGCCTGGTATCATCTTCTTTCTCTTTCTCTCTGGCCCCCATTAATTATTCCTATAAATACACTGTACATAGCCCGCTTGGCTTTTGAAGCCTTAAAAATTCCTCCTCAGCGAAACACCGTCGTTTACCGCGAACTCGTAGGATCGTGTATTAACTGGCTGCGCCTCCAGCACGAAGATTACGTCATCCAGGAAGTAGTACGACTGTCCTAGATCACCTTCGCAAAGGTACGGTAGTTTGCTCCAGACGAGGCATCGCAGTCCCACCGGAGCGAAGACTCGGTCGATCAGACTTACTATCTGAATCTCGAGCCCACTTCCTCGCACTGGTAGATACTCTGACGGTTTGTGATTATTTCTTTCGCCGACCTCGACATAAGGGCTGAACGGCAGCACCAAGGCGACGATTAGTCTGCCACCGGGAGCCAATGAGGTTCTCAGTAGCCTCAGTAGAGTATTTGGACGGTCACAACGATCGAGGAGGTTCAGGCAGAGGATGACATTGTAAGGACCAGCTTCCTGATGCCACCTCTCCACGTCGAGTACTCTGCTCAAAAAAAAAAAAAAAAAAAAAAAAAAAAAAAAAAAAGAATTAAAGGGCAAATTCAGGAAACAATTTTCCGTATCTTATGTAAATTATTCGGATATTTGGAATTTTATACTCCTATCGTTTCGTAGCACTATACGAGTACTTTTATTTTAAGAGGAAACAATAGCTAACAGCAGTCTAACGCTCTAATTGAAAATAATTTCGTTTATTTAATAGACCCTATATTTAACTATAAAAAGTCTTATTATTAATCGTAGCCGAAACGCTAAAAAAATCTTTTTAAAGTACGGTGATAATTTAAATTTTATAAAACGTCGCGAGTTCACCTCATCATAAAGGATATATGCGGTGAAAATGAAATTGAAATTTATCCTCGACAAGAATAGACTGCTTCTTTCAGAAACACACACAGGCCGAGGAACAGAACTCTAGACATCGGCTAATTTTACACGGAGCGGACGGAGAGTATCCAGAGATAGTTGAAGTTGTATAAAACGAGTTACGGGATTCGTCGCGCCCTACGGACGCTCATTTAAAATTCGAGTAGCGACTCAGGGCGGCGCGTTCCCGATAGTGGCGTCCGCTCCGATCCGCTCCGGGTGTAAAACCATCGTAAACTTCTACTCCAATCAATTCGGCGCAATAAACTTGTTAGTGGCGCATCGTGTTGAGAATATTACGTATCGACACGAGTGTCGACAGACAAGTGCCGTTTTATCGGCCGGCGCGAATACGCGACGGGACCCGGCTGGGCCCGCCGATCAATTATCTTATCTCATTTTATAATGAAGCTCACGTTTTTTAGATAACCGTAATAACACCGCTTGTGATGGCCTCTCAATTCGCCCGGGAACGGTGCGCATAATTGCGAGTGCTTACATTATCGAGGGGTTCCGTATCGAGTAACTATCAACCATCGTACTTGGCCGATTTCTTATTGATCTGATTCGCGCGTTCGTGGATTTACATAAATTCTATTCCTTCCTTACTCTCGATGTATTTAATCACGTCGATAGTACAGTGTAATGAATTGATCAAATTTTTTTTATTTTCAACAGATAGTGGATGATTTCCTGCGAGGACTTTTTACACTCGAAAGAGACATCAACAATGCCATCACCCTTTAATTTTTAGAAATTCGGAATTTCACTTTGAATTTCTTGTATGTATAATAAGAAAAATTTATATATAATGTATATATCCACAGGTACCTTATACAAGAAAGGTATGTGCTTTGGGTTATCTCCGTGTCTAGATTCATTGTTAGAATGTGTGCCAATATTTTATAAATATTGCAATTTCACTTCATCAGGGCGGGGAAAAGTCTACTCCTCGCCCCAATAAGCTGAAATGTTCATAAAATATTGGCATTCTAACAATGAATGACTAGATACGCGGAGATCTAAATCTACAGTACATAAAAATCACCATATATAGTTAAGAAACAGAAACTTTAAATTATTATTATTATCATTAGTACAATGTTACAATGTATTAAAAAACAATTATTCGTTTGAATCTAAAGGAAAAGATGGATCTCTCGCGACGAAAAGATCGATTCTAAAGCAATTAAAAGTTACCCAATAATTCATGAGAGTTTGAAGTAATTTCCTCGATATCGAAGATGTCAAGGAAAGGATGTCGTGAATACAGGCGCTTTAAGCTGTGATGAGGATAAAATACGTGTCGTGCGAGTCTACCGAGCGTGTGCAGTCGCCGTTACGAGAAAATGTAAATGCACGTTCAAGGAGCGAAGATTCCACCGCCCACCTTTGGCCGCACGTATTCGATTCAAAGAATGTAATCTGTTTCGCATTCTCGCATACGCGACTCCACGCTCGCAAGGGAGCTTTGCCATTTGAAAAATTTCCGTCCAACTAGTAAGGATTCCTTGCAGAATAGATATTCAGATCGAATCGCCTTTATATAAACGCGCCCAATGATTGCAATAACACAATTGATTTCACAAATATTCCGTCCCTTGATTACGAATATGCTAATTTCGGGCGAATTAAGTTACACGTCGTCGCTTTTGTCTATAAATTTCAGACGCTTGCTAGTAAAAAAAAAAAAAAAAAAAATTCACAGAAATCTACGAGAAAGCTTTCAAGACCCATTTTTCAGTATGTTACATTTTAAAAGTTATTCAAATAGATATTTCGTC